CCCCCGCTTGGGGGGCGGAGCGGTGGAGGAAGCGCGGCATCCAAGGGTGCGGCGTGCGGGGTGGCGGGCGGGGTTGGGGAGTTGGGCCCGGGGGTCACCAGAGGAGAGCTTGTCTGGCTCCCGGCTTGTCTGCCTGGGCATGAACTGGGCGCTGTGTGTTTTGATTAATTTGGAGGCTCGAGTTACCAGCCTGGCAGTCTGGGCGCTCCCAAATGCCAAGAGCAAGAGGCAGCTGAGGGGAAAGAGAAAGCCCATCCTATTCTCTGCTGCGTTAACTGGCTCTGGCTGAATCTTATCTGCGGAAATGCAGGGGAAGCCAAGAGCCAACCTTGTCGGGGTGTCTCCCTCCTGAGAATGCCCTTCACGGAGGCGGACTGGGATGCAGACCTGCAGTATCTGGCTTGTTACGGCACCGTGTTTAGAGCAGGGCTCCTGCCCTTTTCTTGTGCCCCTGACCGCGATGGCTCTGGTGAAACATTTCGATCCTTCGTAGAATCATGCAATTATCAGAATCACTTCTCCTGGAATAAATTATGACGGTATTAAAGTCATGATATAGTAACATAATGCATCATTATTATTGCACTAAATACCTAAATCTAACAGCAGATTTATTAAACAACTGTAATCTCAAAGTACTGATGACTGCAAAACTGAAAGGTGACATAAAAATACGAGGGGGTGAGAACTCTCAAGAACTGCCAATAGCATTGTGGTTTGTTGCCTGTGTGCACAACTAAAGGCAATGCTGAGCTTCTAGGGAAGTTTAGTGAAAATAGAGATGTACTATTTGTTCCCATTCAAGTTCACAGACCACCTGAATTCCATCTGCAGGTTTAGAACCCCTACTTTGGATCAGTGTTGCCTATATTTGCAGGAGTTGGTTATCAAACACCAAGTGTGAAATATGTGATTTGGTCACTGATTGTGGAAAACCACTTGCTTGCAATTAGAATGGTCTATTAGTACATTAGACCTAAGTACCTGTGTAAGTAGGTGAAACCCTGACAGTGAATAAATGAAGACACACACCCCCTATTTGGCTGTAGAGTAAATATACTCTGCTCTCTGTTTTTTATTTGTCAACTCTGGCTGTATGTTAGAATCCCCTAAGGAGCCTCTGAAAATCCTGAAACTTTATCCATTCCAAGCCAATTACACTCCCCAGCAGCGGGACTCTGGGGTCAGTGTATTTAGAGCTCCCTGGAGATTCCCACCTGCAATCAAGTTTGAAAGCCACTGTTTTACATGCATATTTCAGTTAGTTTCATTGACTCAGGGTCTCTTCTCGTAGAATAATAAAAAGAACACATATTAAACTCTTTATTAAGACTTGTGAGTGTCCAGACCATAGACGTCACTGTGTGGTATGTACTCGTTTCTCCCCACTGATAGGGAGGGCTCTTATTGAACCTTCTTCTGTCATCCTTGTTAAGTATGACATCAGGTGCTTTGTTGACAAAATAACAGTGTCCAAGAATTCCAAGAGACAAATGGCAATCTTGTGTGAACTGACTGCCTCACTTCCTGGAAAAAAGCAGCAACAATCCTCAGTGTTAGTGTTCAGTGCTCCTTCTTTTTGCTGAATTCCAGAAGATTTCTTAATTTGGATTTCAACTGCCTTTTCCTGAAACCAAGTCATTTTGACAGAAGTCCAGACTTGGTTTTATCAACTTAGAAAGGGTGGCAGCAGTCAATTGCAAGTCACTTATGGTGCCACAAAGTAGCAGGAAAGAAGACACTTGTGATGTAAATACAGTAAGGAGGAAGCAGTGGGTAAGACTGTGGTCTCTGGAGTAGACTTAGGAATTTGAATCCTTTCCACACTCACTAGTGCGGGCTAACTTCCCTGGGCTGGGGTCTTCTCTTCTGTAAAATGAATATAATCATGGTACCTACTTCAAGAAATTGCAGGACTCTGATTTGATAATCTATTAGAAATCCTTTGTCCAGGGTCTTCCCAAAACAGTCACATGTTGGAATCTGATTCTTTAGTTGCATAAAGGAAATCAAAGTGAACCTGATGAGAAATGATGGCACAGAGTAGCGATGCTTTTCTCAGCTCAGTAATGGGAGGCAAGAGTCAAGCATACCCTGCCAGCTTCCTTGAGGTCAATAGACTCTTAAGGCATCTAGAACCTGGCTACTTGTCATCCCTGGGAGCAGTAGCTTTGGCATCCTGGAGAGCTGCTTTGATATGCAGAAGGAATCTCAGGCACCACCAGGACCCACTGAATCAGAGCCTGCATTCACCAGTCTCCAGGTGATTCATCCACACATCAAACTTTAAGCAGTGGTGGCTTTTCTCTAAGCCAGATTTAACTGCCCATTCCTCTCTTCCCCACATGCTTATGCCCTGCTTTAGTACAGTGTTGGTGTGCTCACTGGGTGGTGTCAGTTAACCAGAATTTCTCTTTTATTGAAGTATAGTTGATTTACAATGTTGTGTTAGTAACCAGAATTTTTGTTTTTTAAAAAATAATCTTGGAGTCAAGAGAGTTGATTTTTCATGGTTGGTTTTTTAAATGTGATAAAAGGAAAGTGGGGACGGTTCTTTTAAGTAAATACAAAGGACACAGAGATCTTCTGCTTTTGACTTGGTGCCAGATCAGGGTTTTGAACAAAATGAAGTGGTAATCGCCTTTGACAGGCCCTATATTATTGATTTTGCCCCCTTTTCATAATCACAGTATCATGTCTGAGTTCTGCACAGTGCTTAAATGGGTAGTGTGTGCTTCCCCACTTTTGAAGGTAAACTCCAAAAGGACAGGGGACACTCAGGTGCTCTTTACTGTTATTGAATGAATGAAAGAATTTGTTCACTATTTGCTGAATGAATGAACTTGGATGCCTTGACAAATTTCCTCAGGATTCACACCCAGGTCTGTTTTCTTCCAAAGTTTATGACCTTTCTGTAGCCTTCACTGTGCAGGAATGTGCCTCAGCATTTTGACAAGACACACTTTTCCAGGCTGCCTATAGCTCCTTCCTCAATCTTTTTAAAAGACAGAATTTGATTTCAATTAAATTTTAAATTAATCTTTTTTTACTCCGTCTCCTCACTTAGTCATTTCTCGTCTTTCAAGAACCTTCTCAGAATCTAACACCTTTAAAACAATTAGACTCAGATTCCTTTAGAATCTCAGAGTCATTATCAGTGCATGTCAGTTCTTGCCAGATTCTTGCTCTGCTTTTCTAAGGTCATGGCCCCTGCCCCAGCGTCTGCGCTTAACACCTGTGGATTACGGTAGCCATCTAGCTAGTCCCCTGCAGGTTCTCGCCTGTGAAATCTGCCTTCTACATTATTGTCAGAATAAAATTGCACATTGTATCAGAAAGAACAGGTTACTTTGGGGACAGTTACAGACAACTCCCAGATTTCCGGGGCTTATAGTCACATTTACACTAATGTATCCATCACAGGATGTGGGGAGATGGGGAAGGGTCCAGGTGGAGGGGGGGACCTCTGCGTAAATAGCCCCTCAGGAAACCCCTGGAAATTCCCACTCGAGTTCTTCTCTGGTCTCCTCAGAAGGAGAAGAGAATGCCGCAAATCAAAAACTGCTCTAAACGCTGCTGCCTGGATGTGACACGTGCTACTTTCCCTGAACTTCTCATTGGCCAAAGTGGTCATACTTCATTTTGTAAGTGATGGGAAATAATCTGCCACGTGCCTGAAAGAGTGGGGGAAATGTTTGGTGACTGTTAGGTCAAAGGTCAAGCCCTTTGTCCAGACTTTGATTATACAGCACAGAAACAGTGTCATGTTATTTTACTTTTCTGCGCTACATGGGCAGATACAGAAATTATATTTTTAAATATAGTAACTGGCATTTGAGAAATAAATGTATTGAGGTATAATTTATGTACAAAAATCTGTACCTATTAACATACACAATTCAAGGAATTTCACAGATACATACACCTTGTGATGCCAGTAGCAGGATCCATCGTGATACAGGGCTTTTCCATCACTCCCCAACGTGTCCTCCTGTCCCTCCCTTTTCAGTCCATCCCTCTCTCCCTGCCCATTCCCAGGCAACCATTGATCTGCTTCCTGTCACTATGGGTTGGTTGGCATTTTCTAGAATTTTATGTAAATGGAATCATACAGCATGCATCCTTTGGTGCCTGGCTTCTTTGACTCAACAGAATGACATTGAGATTGATCCATGTTGTGTCTACCAGCAGTTTGTGCCTTTCTATAGTTGAGTAGTATTCCATTGCACAGACATCACCTTTAAAAAAAAATCTATTTACCTGTTGAAGGACATTTGAATTGTTTCCAGTTTGGCACTATTACAAGTAAAGCTACTGTGAATATTTTTGTACGAGGATTTTTGTGGATGTGTGTTCCTATTTCTCTTGAGTAAATATTTAAGAGTGAAGTTGCTGGACCATAGGGTAGATATATATTTAACTGTAAAAGAAACGGTTTTCCAAAGTATCTGTATTATTCTTCATTCTCACCAGGTCCTCCATATATTTTTGTTGCATTCTTTTAGTATTACCAGCTTTTTTATTTTTAGCTATTCAAATGGTTACACAGTGACAAGTTAATGTGCTTTTGATTTCTCTAATAACTAGTCATATTGAATGTCTTTTCATGTACTTATTAACCATTCACAGAGCTTTTGTAAAGTGTCTACTTAAATCTTTTCCCCATTAAAAATTGATTGTTTCCCTTACTGCTGA